AATTTATAAAATACCAAAAAATAAAGTCAATTCTAACTTTTGTTTTCAGTTTTGTTTGTTTGTGTGTGTGGAAAAGTTCATGTGAGTCAAATGGCGTTTTAAAATGAATTTTAGATATTGACAATTGAAAATAATTGATAAAATATTGATCAAAACCTACTCCAGTGGTAGAGATATACAAAGTTTCTTATCTTCTTTTGCTTAGTCCCCCGTTACTGTCATTTTATCACGAAGATCCACACACTTTTGTAAGCAAGCTTCTACTTCAATGTGTTTAAATGTACACAATGTCAAGTTACTGATAGCCTCGATTGTGTTATTTATGTTGGAGTTAGTTTAAATTAGTTTGATTTTTAAAGTATTCATTTGTAGGGATTTGATTGATTTTATGCTATTTCACAGACTGACAACACTTGGAGAACGACTGAAAACCAGAGAGTAATGGAGAACTGTTCCTTCTTAGTTTAGGCTTCTTGAGCAGTACTCATAAATGAACTTAAGACATTCATGTTACGAGGAGAGCCTGTTGACTCGTCAAGCACTGGGGTGGGATCTAATTGTTTATGAATTTTAACTTCTGTCAGTTTGCGATATATAACGTCACTGTCAGCCAATGTCGTCAGTGGTGAGTATTTGTCCTCAAACCCGACCTGGTAGACCTCATCGGTCACGATCTATCCCTAGAACTAGAATTATTGAGCTAATGAATTCTGTCTCATTTGCTGAATGGCCGTCGGACTCCCCTAGTAATCTGAATTTCTTGTGGTCATGCGTACGTGCTGTTGAAGAGCCCGAAACTAGGACGAAGCAGCATTCCAGTACTCCCTGGCTTTCAGCAGATCTCTAACTAATGTTAATCTATGATAATACTTAAAGCAGTTTGCACATTAAGGGATCCTTTTGCATACTTCGTGAAAAGGGAGTAGAGGTTATTGGACAGTGTATAAATGTTTCATCTTTCATTTAGGATTTCCACTGGTAGTCAATGGCGACCTGTTTAAATCACTGGGCTATCAGCATTTCCATTCACTGAAATGCTTTGACTCTTGTGCGTTTCTCATTGTTTTAATCATGCAATCATATCAGATGACTGGTACATGAACTCACGCACATATTTAATTAGCTCTCTCAACAAAGCTCTGTTCAATTCTTGAGGGGAATTAAGAGAAAACTCACGGAGTTGGTTCTCTCTTCATATATAAAAACACTACGTCACATGATATACTTCAGATTATTACTTTACATGAAAATCCTGTATGAAAAAGGAATATTTTCGAACTAAATACACTGAAAATTTCTGTCATATGTGTTCACATATTATCTCAAATAAATTATTATTGTTTCATTAAGTTCCTAGAGGAACATAAGGCTTCAGCCACACGTCTCCATTGCGTTCGCTTCTCTGACAACGTTTTCATCTGGCTCCACGTCTCCCACATGCTTTCATTTCCTTTTCACGCGACCTCCCCAACTCCATGTCACCCTCGAACTGACGAACAACTAACTTCCCGCTTCCAATTCCGGTTCCACTCGACCGATGGCCTGGCGAGTGATGTTACTCACTCGATGGTGATTTGTTTTCTCAGAGTATGGCCTACAATCCACCTTCCTCAATTTCTTCCTGCAAATTTGTTGCACAATTGGTTCCTGCTGGGTCGGTTCGTTGGTTCATTGTCAGAGATCCCTCCCTGTTGCTGATCTTGAGTAGTACTGAGCGAAGACAGCTATTGATGAAGGTGTGTAGTTTGTTTGAGGTGTTCTTCATGACACGCTGGCCAAGTCTCTGATCCGTATTGTAAGTAGCAATGAATGACTTCACACTGGAGTTGAAGATCCGGATCTTATTTATCGTGCTGAGTGCTGTTGACCTCCACACACTTGAGAGAAATGAAAGCTTGTCTTGCTTTCCCGATCCTCGCTTTGATATCCTCATCAGTTTTGTCTGCCTGCAGTTGAAACGATGCTTCCCAGGTAGGTAGGCGGGTAGGTAAAGGAGGTTGCTTCTTTCAGATTACTCCCATTTATGCTGGTTGTTGTCTGTTGTTGTTGCTGCTGTTGCTGCTGCTGTTGGCTAGGAATCTTCATCATCACCTCTGTTTTCTCTATGTTCACCTGAAGGCCTATTTTCTCTGGATTCTTCTTCTGCCAACTTGTTGCTTTTCACTTGCATATCTTCCAGTTTGTGGGAAATCAGACAAATATCATCGGCGAACCAATCCTCCAAGTCTTTTGTGTGGGTCCATTTTATGCCTGTCTCCTCGTTGCCCGGCCAGTTGTCTGTCGCATTATCCAGTCTACCACAACCAGGGAAATCATTGGTGATAGTAGGCAGCCAGCCTTGTCATACTCCGTCTTCACTTCTTCGAAGGATTCCGTAAGTTTCCCTTTGTGGATTACTTGGTATGCAGCATTGTCGTAGAACTGTTGGATGAGATGTATACTTGTTGGGCGCACCCCGTAGGAGTGAAGTTGTTGCCAAATCACCTCTATATGAAATGAAGCTTTATTATTATTAAATTCGATCAGAAACACATCAGACAACCTGGTTCATAAAAATCTACTCTCACATTCCGGTCAATGATCTGCTGCTGAGTAACATAGTTGTGTACACTGCAAATATTTACAGTCATCACTTCAAAAATGAACAGAATGCTTGTCAAGTATTGAGTCTGTGAGAATCCTCTCAGTCTCAAGGGAGAGTTTGTCGTCAATCGGCGTCATTTAGAGAACCACTGAAAACGAGGAAGTACTCGATGACTGTATGACAGCGTATTTGCCTGAATGTTCTGGGAACAAAATCATGACAAGAAGTTTATCTTAAAGTTACTATGGTGATTTGAATCTGGTTAGCTGTCTAATATGGCCAAATTCACATCTTGGGATAGCACCCTAATCCTTCAGGTATTGTGTTTGTCAAATGTAGACAAAAGGTTAACCTTAAGTTTGATTACCAACCAAATTTAGTTAGAGAATCCTTGAAAACCTGAAAGTGTACAACAACTACTTCGCGCAAGTTTTAGACTCTTCAAAAGTACACACTTTTTACCCCACCATAGAATGAAAGAACAACCTTCAAGTCACAAGAGGAGCTCGTTAACCACTCAGACATCGGGACGGAATTCAAGACCCCATGAAATCTCTCTTTCGATTCGCAGTATATGGCGCGGCTGCCAGCCAGTGTCACTTCAGGTGACTTCGACTTTTAGCCACTCAGTAGCCAGCATCCTGTAAACTGAAGATCCTGGTTCCGATCTCTAGTGAGATGGTGAGTGCGTAATGCTTGACAGCCTCCAAAAAGGACAAAACAACTTTCCAGTAATCACAGATTTCCAGTTGCTGTCTCTCCGGAACCAGTTCATGATCTAAGTTGATATCAACCGAGTCCCTGAAAACCAGTACTCAGATAAATTTATCATTTCTTCATGTGTTTGCGCTGATGCAGACGTAATTCTGTCAGTTAATTTTGCAGTATGGTCACTAATACAGGTGACTCTTAATAGATGTTAGATTTTGGGTAGAGCAGTCAGTAGAACTTGCTTGGCCCATCCTTTGTGTTCGTTACTACTCGTCAGAAAGGAGTATTTGAAGCCTTGAACGAACCAGTGTATCCGCCGAGATTGTGACTCGCATCACCCAGTGTTGTAGTCACAAAGGCTATCGCTGAGCCAATCGGGCTCATGAATTATCACAGAACTGAAAGCATATTGCAAGTTTAAAAAATTCACACATTTATCTTTCCTTTCTCAGATTTATAAACGACATTATGCGTATGACATTCTTGTTATGTTATTTATTCAAGTATTGGTTTGCAGGGATTTGGTTGGTTACAGGACTTCATCGTGAATTGAGAACCATTGGAAAACAGGTAGTACTGGACATCTGTTTCGTTAGCCTAGTCTGGGACTCTTCATCAGTACGCACCTCTTGGAGTTCGAATCCAGGACCCTCCAGTTACAGGGCGAGCTCATAGACCATTAAGCCACTGGGACTCGATCCAATGGCTCATGAATTACAACTTCTCCAATTTTTACAATATTGCGCGACTACTAGCCAATGTCATCGGTGGCTGTCCTCACACCCGACCTGCTGTATCTCACTGGTCACTGTTGTTTATCTTGAATTCTATTGCCTATCATTCAGCACTTTAAATTAAAAACTTGCTTAATGTCTGAGGATTCAAACATGATTTCACTCACTATTCGATGACCAATTCCAACAAATGTGAACAACCAATTATCAAATTGTGTATAACTCAATCGCTGAAAATGCTAACCAATATGTGCTTGTACACCACAAGTTGGATGATTTTCCAGAAAGCTACAAAATACACATCAGTTGTATAAACACTTTAGAGCTCTGAATGTAAAAGTAACATTCTAGTGGGAAGCCGTGACCAGTAGGGTACGGCAGGTTGAAGGTGAAGAAGACATTGCGAAGTGGTAGTGCTATTTCATGAATTGGGAGAAGTTAGAATTCATGGGCTGGCCATTGGATTGCGTCCCAATGGATTAATGGTCTACAAGCTCGCTCGTCTTGTAACCAGAGGGTCGTGGGTTCAAACCCCCGGTGGGTGTGTACCGATGACGAGTCCCAAACTGGGCCGACGAAACAGCTGTCCAGTACTCCCAGGTGGTTTTCCAATGGTTCTCTGACTGATGTCAACTCATGATGAAATCCTCCAAACAATCATACAAAACCCCTAAAAAACCAATACTTGATAATGTTACATCACTTTTTGGTTGGAAGTGTCTGGATGTATAATCCAGGATTCTCACTTCGTCCTATTTAGGACTTGTCAGCTGGATGTACAGGCACTCACCAATGGGCGATAGTGTTTCCACTGGAACTCGAACCTTGGACTAATCGCTTAAAACGCCAAAGCATTATTGGCTAAGACACTTGGGTCATGTGAGCCATCAACTGTGTAACGGGCCCCTAAAGTGAAGTAGGGAAGGTTATTTTCTAATTTTAACATATATATATATATATATGCATCTCACCTGAAATCTATCATTGCTGGCATAGATTGACTATTAATCAGATAAGCTACACCACGATTGATTAAATACTTAGTAGAATATCGATTTAAGCGAATTGAAACAGTAAGATCATCAATAGCACGTTGTGGTCGACCTAGTTGTAGGTAAATGATTGCACGACAATCGTGTGCATTAGCCAACAGTATATTGCTACACTCTGATGAATTTTGTCCCCTGTTGATTATTTCATCACCATCAGATTGCTGCTTGTTATAATAAATATCTAAACTGTGTGTAATTTGTTTTAATGCATCATTTAAACGTCCTAGAACCTGGAAAATTTAAATTTACAATGAATATAAAACATTTAATTAGTTACAAATGAGAAGAACAATTTAAATATATTTAATCAAGTATGAAAGTGATATTAGGAAGGTTGATGAGAAAAATAATTGTAGGTCAGACTTAATTCTTGAAACTCATTGGTAGATATTATTTGGTGGAGGGTGACTAGCAATGAAATCCATCATGCACATTTCACCCTATATGGAACTCATCATCTGCAGGTACTTGCGATCCCCAGTGAATGACAGTGATTCTGTTGAAAAAAATCTCAACATAAGACTAAGAAGTAAACAAAATTACACAGAGAATTAAACTGCCAATAAACTAGAAATCTACTGCACTCAGCATCAAGAACAAGATGGAATTCTTAACACAAATGCTAGTTCGGCCAACAGCAACAAGAGCAACAGACAACAATCAGCATAAATGGTAGAAATCTGAAAGGAGCAACCTCCTTTACCTACCCACCTACCTGACTGGGAAGCATTGTCATTTCAACTACAGGCAGATGGGACTGATGAGCACATCATAAAAGCGAGGATCGAGAAAGCAAGGCAAGCTTTCATTTCTCTCAAGTTTATGTGGAGGTCAACATCACTCAGCACTCAGAATGAAAACTAAGATCCGGATCTTCAACTGCAATGTAAATTCAGTCAGTGCTACTTACAATACGGATCAGAGACTTGGCCAGCGCGTCATGAAGAGCACTTCGAACAAACTACACACCTTCATCAACAGCTGTCTTCGCTCAATACTACTCAAGATCAGATGGCTGGCGAGAGAAGATCAGCAACATGGGGGATCTCTGACAATGAACCAACGAACCAACTCAGCAGGAACCAACTGTGCAACAAATCTGCAGGAAGAAATGGAGGTAGGTGGATTGGAGGCCATACTCTGAGAAAACAAACCACCATCAAGTGAGTGACATCACACACCAGGCCATCGGTCGACTGGAACCCGAATAGGAAGTGGTGAATAAGTTGGTCGTCAGTGCGGGGATGACATGGAAGAGGTCATGTTAAGAGGAGATGAAAGCATGTGGGCATATGTGGAGCCAGGTGAAACCGTTGTTGAGGAGAACCGAACGGAATGGAGACGTGTGGCTGAAGCCGTATGTTCCTCTAGGAAACAATAATAATAATAGTGCCAGTTGAGTCAGGGCTTCTATATTTTTCGGAAACTTGGAGTGTTACGAAAAGTATTTCCAACAGGCTAATGCAGAATTTTATCAACGGCTGACCCATTCGCCTCATACGAAAGGTCAGATGGCTAGTTAGGAAGGATAAGCAATAAGGAACTCTGAAAGCCGTTAGACTAATTAATCAATAACCTGTCACCCAACTTAAAATTCCCCATTGAGTTATAGAGAAGAAAAGGCGGCATTCAGCGAAGAGTTATTCTTTTCGGCAATGTCATTCTCAAGCTGTACAATCGCATATATGTACAGTAAGTTTCCTTAGCAACACAATGAATACCTCCAAAGATGTGTCATTAGAATTGTAAATTTTTTAGATAACAATTTAGGTGGTGTAGAAAGCGTTGTTCGACTAGAAACTAAAATAAAACTAAATAACTAAGTTGAATGACGTAATCTAATTGATGGGTTTGAGTAGAATTCGACTAAAATTGAACGAGAGTGTGTTTAACAACAGTGGTAATAAGGGGAAGAGATTTAACAGTGGGTGGGGGAAGAAAATATTATACAATTGAGAAACAAAAAACAAAAATTACTCATTTTGTGTTAAGATAGATGAGGTCGATTGTAGATTTAATTACTGAACAAACTTCTTTTGTATGCAAAGTTCAGGACTTAACATATGAATCGCCATTGCTTCTACGGTTTGAAGAGGTTTGATTCGTACCCTTTTAGCAAGATTCCTACGTATTCTGTAGATGACTTTGAAGTTACTTTGTGGCTTTGCTTGGTGTTTAGATTCGATCAAGTGTTGCAGGAGGGAGCTTCGGGGGAATCTTTCTCCTCCTTTATAATATCATGAGTGTGGGTAAGTGTTCGATGATACGTTTGGATAGCAAACGATTAGGACGGCCGACATACCTATTTCCACTCGAGCAGGTTAATTGGTAGATGCACATTAATGAGGCTGGCCAACAGTGGTAGCTTATCCTTCACGTTCATGTGAATCATTGGTTCGCAGAGAAAGTAATTCAAAGCTCAGCCGCGGAGAAAGTTTTATTCAGTAAGCAGGAGAGGCAGTTTCTCAGTATTTCCGATGATGAGTCTACATTGAATTGTAGATTCAGACAGTGTGGGCATTTTAAGTCGTTTAGGTTTCATGGATTTCATGATGAAACGTTCTGAAGTAGCCATTTTCGAAGAGGATTCTTTTCAGAGTGTTCAACTCCTCTTGCAGAGCGTCAGGGACACAAATTCTACGGATTCTGTGTTTCTGTGTACGGATCAGGTGTCGTTTCGCTGACAACGTGAAGCCAACTAAAACAGACTACATAGAATAGGATGGAATGACAATGTTCTACTGAATCTCTATTTTTTGCTAGGCAGCCAAGAGAATAATAATGATAACAGTAAAGAAATTAAATGAACGAAAGGAGAAAGTACACGAAATCTAGTTGTCATAACTATTAACCAGTCATTGGGAATCCTTGACTTGATAAGTTATCATCCAGCAGCTTACATTTTCACATGGAGCCAACGGTGGCTGGAAAAGATCATTAATAATGTTTCTTACTGTCACATAATGTGAAAAATTCCAGATACGCTATTTGAATTGGCTATAATAACAAGCGCAAACCTAAGGTCTGTCATTTCCTGTTGACTAGCTTTAGCAAATCAGAAACCATCAAACATCCGCTGGAACAAAGAGTTTCTTGGCTTTGCCTTCAGAAAGGAGCATACGAATTCAAGCGTTGTGCTCTAATTTACAGAAGGATTATTTTACTTCTACGGGGTGGAACTGCCAGCCCAACACCCTTTCCCCCCTTTTTCCCCATTAGCAATTACACAAAACCATACAATAGGATGGATGTGCGTCGGTGGCACAGTGGTTAGCACGCTCGCCGACCAAACTATGGTCCGGGGTTCAATCCCCGGCCGACGCACACCTGATATAAATGGTCAGCCTGTTAAATTTGGGCTACCGATATCATATGCTAAAATTTCATACTTGTATCAAATACTGCTGGAATCAAGCTTAATCCCCCCGAAAAGATAACAGTTTTAAAATCTAATCTAAATAGCATAGTGGAGGGAGAGATTGATAACAGAAGCTTTGTTTATCGAATCGACTGAATAGAATACGTGTAATAGGAATGATTCAACACCTGTCCACCCAGATATCTGGAAAATTCTACTACCCCAACAACTATAAATAGGAGAGAACAAAGAAAACTAAAAAACTCAAGTTTCGAAGTCGTGTGATTATAATTGATGAAATGATTATGAACAATAAATTGTGTTCGAAACGTCATCCAGTAAATAATGCTGTTTCACTGACTGTGTGATACATCTAACAAGTAAAACTAATATGGAATTACTTATTACCACAGTGCCCAAGTCTTCTATACGGATCAGAAACTTGGCGGGTCACAAAGAATATTTCCAACAGCCTGTTGCAGACCTTTATCAACAACAACTGTCTTCGTTCTATACTCAAGATCAGATGGCCGGAAAGAATCACCAACAAGAAACTATGGGAACAAACAAAACAAGAACCAATCGCCCAACAAATATGCAGGAGAAAGTGGAGATGGATTGACACCGAGGAGGCCGCTGGCTGACATCGTGCGTCAGGACCTCGAGTGGAACCCGAAAGGGAAGCGGCAAGTGGGACGTCCAAGGGTGACATGGAGGAGGTCGTGTGAAGAGGAATTGAAACAGTATGGAATAACATGGATGCAGGTGAAAAGTACAGCAGAAGAGAGAAGCAAATGGAGACGTGTAGTTGAAGCCCTATGTTCCACTAGGAACCCAAGTATTACACATCTATCAAATTAAGTAAGATTTAGAAATGCTTCGATTGGGAATTGAACCTCGAATTTTATGCGTGATTGGCCAGCATTTGGGGATACATCAGTGGTTCAATGGTAGGATATTCATCAGCCATAAAAATGACCCATGTTCGAACCCCAGATGATGCATTCTTAAAAATTCAGCCCAGTTTACTAACAGGTGTAATAAGTTCAAAGAAGAGAGAAGGAAAGCAACACTACTACGACTATTGAAACTTCAAAACTGGAAGCCCTATGTCCTTTATGGAACCTAAAGGAATATATACTATATATATAAATTCAAGGTAATTAAATTGATAATTGAATAGAATAAAGGCGTATCCTGTGTGTACATGTTAATTATTAATAATAATAATGATAATAATAATAATGATAATAACAATAATAGTAGATACTGGTCTCGAATTTATTGACTTGTTTTTAGAAATTATTATTATTATCATCATCACGTATCGCAAAAAAATTTAAATTAATATCCGTATCCCAATTTTGTTTAAGTTTTCTTTGTATAATTCTATTTACCCTGCTTGTTTTAAATTTGTTTTCAAACTGGAAAGCTGTACAAACATGCATACATACAATACAACAGGTACCAAATATATTCAGCCTCCTCAGTGTGTCAGTCACATGAGTAAAGTGAATTTTTTTTCAAAAAAAAGAGGCGATTTTATAAATGTGATTTAATTCCATCTTTTTGTGATGAAAAGGCACGCATGCATGCATGCATGCTGGCATATGTATATGCGTAAACAAGAAAGCTGTACAAAATGGATGAACTTTCTAGACGAATTATGAACTGAAAGGAAAATTTATTTATTGTTTTATCTTTTGTTGTCATGGTAACCGAAGATATGTGCATATATATGTATATAGTGTATTCAATAGGCATAGGAATGAATACTTTTGTATTCAAAGAAAGAGCTGTTTATCTATGTATGACATGGTATTTATCATAATTCTGAGTATACTGTATTGATGAAAATTTGTTTAATTTGCG